AGACTTTTTTCTTTGCATATAGATTACATAGGATGAACGGCACGATCCACTCTGCTGGATTCTGCTCTAAATGAATGCAAACATCTGGCTGTATCCAAACTCCTGCAGTTGTATTGTTCTGGATTCAGAGTGAAGTGTATTAGATGTTCTGCACTGTTATTGTTATATATTTAATATAAAGTGAAATACCCATAAAGTCAGAAAAGAAAAGTGACTCACTTGAAAAGGTTCTGAACCAGTGAGAGTTCTTCATTTGCACATAAACATGGTAAAATATTTAAAGCTGTGACCAGATGGCGTCGCCCGCTGCACACATTTAACGCTCTGCATTTTATTGATTTATTTAGCCTTTTATACCACACTGCAAGTCTGACATTTATTAACGAGACGACTGGAAGATACACTGCAGATTTAAACACTTATAAACACAGCTCAAGTCTTTCACAGCCAGAAATATCTCTCTGTGTCACCTTGTTTATTATCTTGCCTTTTTTCACAGCTAGAAATATTCAAGCAGAAAAATCAGTGCCTGTTTAATCAAAGGGAAAGCAATCATCTAGGACAACATTTGTGAAGCGGATAAGATCAACTCAGCGTACAAGACACATAAATCCTGTGATGTTTGTTCATAATCCAGGCTCTATGTTCACATAGAGAAGGATATCACAGTGTTTTGGGACCTATGTCGGTTAAAAGCCAGCGGAAGGGTGTATTAGTCTGGGAAATAACTCATAATAAAGTTGTACATTAACAAGAAAGAAACTGTGATAGTGTTTGAAGCTTGTTCTCCCCCAGCTCTCCTACGTGATGTCCGGCTGGCGTTACTTCGTCTGCCCGGTGGAGTTCAACAGCGACTCCAACCGGTTCCAGGTGGACTGCGAGCCGTTGGAGCTTTTTCAGCTGCAGGACTACACCATGCCCTCCGTCCTGGAGTCCTTCACCGGGTGGGTAAGACTCTCCTGACCTTCATCTGTCTTTCCTGTTTTCTGGCATCACAAGTCATATAAACATGAATGTAACTATGAAACAATAAAATCACTATATTGCAAATCCAGTATGCCAAAAAACAAGAGGGATCCATAATATTTGTAGAATCATGTATTTGTGTCGCAACCTTTCAAACACTTTAATTGTGTCATCTATGTTATTTAGTTTTCATCCTGTGTTACTCATTAAGTAAAGTTAAAATATATCTAAATGCTGTTTCTAGAGTACACATTAACAGAACCTAAGTCCCGTTTAACACCAGGTTTGTATCATATGTTTCAACCTCATCATATTTTTCTCAGCCAGGTTTGATTCTGATACTAAAAGCCTGGGGATGCAAGTCCTATTTTAGCCAAACAACTAGTAACTAGTTTAGTTTGACTGAACTGCTGGTCACTGTTTCAGTCTGACACATGTTCCTTGTCTCCGCAGACCACGGTGCGTCTGTATCTGTTCCAGATCCGCAGCATCGCTCTCTCCTCCTTCGCCTCCATCATGGGACCCTTCGGAGGATTCTTCGCCAGCGGCTTCAAGAGAGCCTTCAAGATCAAAGTAGGGATTTCTGACACGTTTGTTTACTTCAAAACAATCCAACCATCCCTTTTAATGTCTGTAGGGTGCCTTTGAGACTTCATGATTACTGAAAACAAAGATTTTAAATGTAACTTCATATTGAGTTCACGATGTAGATCAGGCTGTAAAAATGCTATGCAGTCAAGCTCCAGCACTTTTTATAAACAAACTCAAAGCAGATAAAGCACGTGGTTCCAGCTTGAACCCTCAGAAAAGGAGTCCTCAAGTTTAACATGTTCATATTTTTTGTTTCAAATATTTTCATTGAGAAGAAGCATACAAGTGTTAGCAATGGTACAGACTTCTTTTCAACATAGAAGACAAACAGAACAGCCAACAAGAGATAACAAAGACAGAACATAGCATGACAGCAATACTATACTTAATGACATACATAGTCATACTGTGAAAGAACATACAAAATAGTTTATATAATACAAATAAATAAATACACGTATTTATTCTTCTACCGCCCATCAATTTATTTGGGATCGATGGAGAGATTTGACGGTTCTAATCTTAGTAATTTCCCTCCCTAATTATCTCCCCTCTCCTCTCAGGGGCCCGGACCCCAGCAAGGTGATCCAGCAGCTCCTGGCGCTGCGCATCGACCAGCAGCTCCACATCTTCAACTCCCTGAAGGCTCACCTGACGGAGAAGGGTTTCCTGCCGGCGCTGGAGGACGTCATGGCCTAGAGCCCCTCACCCACTGTGGCTCACCCTGAGAGGGAGGAGAGAGAGGAGGGCAGCACCCCGAGGACCCCCTGCTGACCCGGGACACTGGCAGTGATTTGTGTGTGAGCGAAAAACACATCAGAGAAAAACGACAAAAAACATCAGCTTTTGTTCATTCCACATCATTTGGTTTGGGAGTCCAGTGTTTGTGAGTTACTGTACTGTTACACATTTCTGTTATAGACTACTTGTATTACCACTGTTGGTCAGATAGACATTTCTACCTGGATATCCTCTATATACCTATTAATGTGTGTTTTTCAGTTTGAATGCACTGCTCTCAACACTCGCTGTACTGTATTGTTACCCCCCCCCCCTCCTCCACATATTTCAATTTCTGTTTATACATGGATGTTTTTTACATTTGTTCTATTATATCTAAATGTCGTGTTTTATTCAGACTGAATTCACCTTGCCATTCGCCACGTGCATTTATATGTGAGTTGGGTTTGTTTTTCCTGTGTTTTCGGCAGGCCCGGTTCCAGAACAAAATGACTCAGGGTGCATCTGAGATTAGAGAGGGTGCAGTGGTAAAGTACTATTTTTATAAGTGGGTCAAGTTTAAGAAGGGTAGAAGGAAGATTTTTTTTTTAAATATTGAAGTTAAAAGCATCAATCTGGTGCACTTTGAGAGCAACATTAAGAGATCTATGGATACATCTCAACACCCATTTGAAACAACTGTAAACAGATTTACTTTTTCTTTATGGATATTTTACAAATCACTCCCCTTTTAAGACCGAAATGTCTACAGGCATGGCATCTTTTTTACAGGAATATTCCAGCCAATCTCTGTTTTGAAACCATGAGCAGCAAAATGAGCGCCTTACCCCACTGTACAGGCGAGTTGGGTACTTTCTTAAATATATCTGGACAGGCTCTGTTTTGCCGAGGTCCTCTGGCACTTGCGGGCCGCCGAGGGGTGGCGGTGTTTGGGGCAACAAAGACGGCTGCGGCTGGCGAGGCGGGCGGGAGGACGGTAGTGTCCACGACAGTGGCCGCGGGTAACGTAATGTCCCCATGATCTGAACTGTTATTACCTGCAGTAGATGCAGTGTTAAGGGCTGGTTGTTTTAACCATTTTCTGATGTCCATCATTGACTGCTGTGTAAGCACCTTGCAGATGACGAACGCGCAGCGGCACATGTCACGCGCACCTGACATTATAACGTTACTTACCGTTTAAATTGACCAAATAAATGCAGCAGACAATGTTATTTAACCACAATTTATTTTATTTCAACTATCTTCTTCTTCTTATTATTACTACTACTATTATTATTATTATTGTTATTATGTAATATTTTTCACTTTTGATTTTTTTTTTTTTCACTTTTAATTTTTCAAATGAGGGTGCATAACGACTCAACTGAGGGTGCAATGCACCCTTATGCACCCCCGTAGAACCGGGCCTGGTTTTCGGTGCCATTCATCATTTCATAAAAGAGCCATTGACATAATTTCATCATGTATTAACACAAAATAATGTCCAGAGAAGAATAGCTAAGTTACCCTGAGGCGTTTGACAGGATCAGTTACAGATACAATCCTCCATACAAGAATAGTGTTTTATTTTGAAGGCCAGTGCAACTGCACCCTCTCAGAATAAATGTCAATCATTTGCAGAAAAGCTCTCAGAATACAATCATGATTTTGTTGAATTGGCTTATTCTCTGTGACATAGTTTTAATCTCTGACAAAGAGCTGTTTTACCACATGTTTTGTAAGGTGGTGGGATTGTTGCATCTGTTTGTTACATTGGTAGAAACAATAATGGTTTCTACAATGCCAATATCTGCTTCTTTGTGTTGTAATGTTAGCAGCTTCAGGGCAGAAATACAGATTATATACAGCATGTGTTTATCACTGTGCCAGATGTGACCTGATGGCCAATTCAAGATGTTTTTCAGAAAGGACCCTTTGCTATTTATACCAGTGGCAAATGTTGGCTTCATTTGGTGGTTCAAATATAAAAGAGTCTCTAATGTTGAGTTCATTTTGTTTTGTTTTCTTAAGGGGAAGCGCCCCAGGAAAACATTTCCGTATGATGTCCGTATGACTTTTTGTTGATATTGATAAAGACAGGTAAAGCAGTCATATGTCTCACAGGCTCCACCCTCTACTGTACTCTTTGGGTACTTCCCCTTGATCCTATCATGCAACTGTGCGCTCTGCAGGCAGAAGATGAAGACGTCATTCTGCGGTCCATTGAGGGGATTACAGTGGGACTTTATGTTGTCAATTCCACCATGAGACCAGAGGACAGATGAGAGCAGAGGACAGATGAGACCAGAGGACAGATGAGACCAGAGGACAGATGAGAGCAGAGGACAGATGAGACCAGAGGACAGATGAGACCAGAGGACAGATGAGACCAGAGGACAGATGAGAGCAGAGGACAGATGAGACCAGAGGACAGATGAGACCAGAGGACAGATGAGACCAGAGGACAGATGAGACCAGAGGACAGATTGTCCTGGAAGGCCAACAGGTACTAACTGATGAGGACAACATTGCATTAGCTGCTACCATGCAGTTTGGACTAATGTATGCAATAAACCTGAACTACCCCCCTAAACTGAAGTGCACGTTCGAAGTGCTCCAGAAAATGTTAATGGAGCTAGACGGCAACATGCTCTCCAAGAAAGCACAAGCGTTTAAAAACAAGCTATTTGAGTGAGCTGTTGCCATGGACCATTGTGCACTTTTACAGCATTCATACTGGACTTTCATCGATACAACTGTCTTGCACTTCCTTTGCTCATGCTTTGTGCTGTATTGATTTGCATGTTTAAAAAATGTGTGTTTTTCCATGTGTTTCAGAATGTACCACTTGCATCAAAGTGCGATGTCAGATTTGCAGAATTGTCTTGATCTAATTGCGCTACTTCAAAATGTCAGTTCTTGTTTTTATTTGTAATACTTTCTTTAGTGCATATGTGGTGAGAAACCAGGCCATTATTATACTTTCATGTGTTTTTCCAAAGCAATGCCATTTCTTTCTTGTATTAAAGTGCCCTTTCATATTAGCAGGTTACTATTTCAATAATGGATTTGCAAGAACATTTCATTTTTTCGGCGTTGACATTTTCTGTTAATTGTTTACATGAATGAGTTACAAAAATAAGCCTTTCTTTGCCATCTGGCCCAATACACCTTTATTTAGGTCGGGAGAATAGTTTCCTTTAAGCTTCTTTGCTGTGTTCGAACACAATAATGTATATGTACATGCATCACAAACATTTTCTATTTATTCTATTTCTTTATTTTCAATGTATTTGTTAATTCTCCTACACTGAAAAAAAGGCTGTTGGATTCACATGATTTTAATATGGAAACCGGTTGCACACATTAAAAACATGTGAACTTAAAACTATTCCATTATGTTAAAGACACACAACTATGTTATGTCAAAGAAACAGTAAATTGTTATGTTCATTTGAATATAGGTATATTCATTTACCCTATGTTTAACCAACATGACTTTTTAATGTTCATTTTAGGCTTTTAATATGCTCAGTATATTTCATTTGTACCTGTTAAAGCCACATTAATGTTTTGTTTAAATTACATGCTATAGTTTTCTGTTTAATCTACCTAGTGCTCAAGGGGTACATAAGATTATTGATTTTATGTAATTAGAGGCATTTCGTACATTCTTCTACAGGATCCATCCTAATCTCTTATATCTACAGCATTTATCACAACATTTTAAAACAAATAGTCAATAAAGACAAACACATTTCTTTGAACAACATTCATGCATTTTTCTCAAAAAATAAAACAATATTAACAACCACCACACATCCAGATGAGCTTTTGGTTTTTCCATCATGCAGCCTAAAGTATGCCAGGAGAATTAACAAATACATTGAAAATAAAGAAATACAATAAATAGAAAATGTTTGTGATGTATATATACATTATTGTGTTAGAACACAGCAAGGAAGCTTAAAGGAAACTATTCTCCCGACTAGGATAAAGGTTTATTCGGCCAAATGGCCAAAAAATGCTTATTTTTGTAACTCATTAACAAAAAACGCCAAAGCCTAGCCGAAAAAAATAAAAATAAAATACAGGCTTCTTACCTAACTCCTACCAGAAAAACAGGAGAAAAAGGGGTTCAAACGAAAAGGGTTTCTCACTCCTAAACAAAACAAAGCGTGTCCTCAAGACAGGTTACATTATAGCTTAGCTTTACAATAATACAAAAATGTACAACACAGAACAACAGATCAGATCTTTTACCACAGACACAGAGTTGGGAGTAGGAGAGGTCGGTGAGAGGGCAGATGGACTACATGGCTGCAGCTGAAATACTCCTGTATCTTCAGGTGGACCAATCAGCAATGGTCCATGGCAACAGCTCACTCAAATGCACGTTGAAAAACGCTTGTGCTTTCTTGGAGAGCATGTTGCCGTCTAGCTCCATTACATTTTTTTGGAGCACTTCCAACGTGCAATTTAGTTTAGGGGGGTAGTTCAGGTTCATGGCATACATGAGTCCAAACTGCATGGTAGCAGCTAATGCAATGTTGTCCACATCGGTTAGTACCTGTTGGCCTTCCAGGACAATCTGTCATCTGGTCTCATCTGTCCTCTGCTCTCATCTGTCCTCTGCTCTCATCTGTCCTCTGGTCTCCTCTGTCCTCTGGTCTCCTCTGTCCTCCTCTGTCCTCTGGTCTCCTCTGTCCTCTGGTCTCCTCTGTCCTCTGGTCTCCTCTGTCCTCTGGTCTCATGGTGGAATTGTGTTTGACAACATAAAGGCCCACTATAATCCCCTGAATGGACCGCAGAATGACGTCTTCATCTTCTGCCTGCAGAGCACAGTCACAAAAGGAACAGAGTGAGATCTAACAAATCAATACATATACCCATTACTAAGGCCCTGTGTTTAACAAGTACATTTGGTCAGATTTCAGTACTTTTAAGCCTCCTTGTTATCTGATATACTCCTGTCTGACCTGATAAAAAATGTTTCACTTCCTGTATCCGTTTTAAATTAAAAGCCCTCTAGCTTTTCAGTGTAGTCTGGCTATTAAACAAAAAACAGGGATGTTCACACACTAGGCTTTTTACTATGTGGTGTTTCAATAAATACATATTTTAAAGTCCAACAAAAAAATCAAAAGGTCAAATATTACTTCTACTGACCACAAACTCTCTCAGCACTTCTGGGTCCTCATTGGGGTATACACACAGAGGTGCACACACAGCCCCTTGAGAAGACATTCCCGCCCTAAATCGACATCAACCTAAGTGAAAGGGAATAAGAAAAGAAAGAATCTGTTTTGCTCAATGAAATGTGTACACTATTGACTCGATGTATAATTTCTAGGGCCGGGACTTTAACGCGTTAATTAAGATTAATTAATTACACAACAATTAACGCGTTAAAAAAATTAACGCATTTTAATCGCACTTATTTTTGCACCGCGGAACGTTTCTCACTGGATGAGTTTCAGGCGTACCGATTATACTGGAGCACCAACTAACGTTCATGACTTCAGACAACAACAAACCACAGTGAACAACAGTGGGAAATGTTGTTTTAAAAAACGGACGGATGGAAGCGTTGATAAGAGCACGGTTGTGTGCAAATTATGCAAAAAGGAATTCGCATATCACCGCAGCACATCAAGCCTCAAGTATCACCTCAATGCAAAACATATAGCAGCTAGCGTGGACGTTAGCCTCTTTTATCGCGTTCACACCAAAAAGAGCCGGTACTAAAATTAGTTCATGAGAACCTTTTTACCCCCACGAAAGTCCCTGCTAGAGAGCAGAGAGCTGCTAGAGAGCAGGGACTTTCGTACGGCTCTCTTGTGAGAAAAGAGCTATATTTCTGATTGGCTGGGCGGATTGCAAACCACGCCCCGTAAAACTCCCAAAAAGTTTTGTGAAGCCGCCATTTTATTATCCTCGCATTAGCATTATTAGCATTAGCCCAGCGCAGAAACGCAGAGAGACTAACTTATGGCAACACAAAATAAAACATGGGAGCGGTGGAGATGAGGAGGTGTCGGCGTTCTGGCGATTTACTCGGAAGGCTGCTGGGACTCCCAGCAGCTTCTACTGAAGCCTTCCCCAACTCCGGGGACTTCCGGCCGGGGACTTTGGGCGGCAGTATACGCCGTGAAGTGGTTTGCGGCCTGCCAGTAAACCCAAAGCAGAAGAAGAAGAAGTGACGTCAGCGGCTTAATTTGACTAATCCACCCCCAGGTTCAAAGAGTTCTCATGAACTAAGTTCTCATGAACCTTTGTGGGAAAAGTACTGCGGTGTGAATGCGCCTAATGGTATACTAAAATCCATGTGAAAAAAATTGCTTCTCACTGTTCTTAGGTCAAATATTTATATGTGATTAAAAATGCGATTAATTTCGATTAATTAATTACAAAGCCTCTAATTAATTAGATTAATTTTTTTAATCGAGTCCCGGCCCTAATATTTCCTTAAAATGAATTCTGACTTGAGTCATGTTTGACATAATACAGTTCAGACGCTGGCCTATCTGTCCTCCTCTCTTCTCAAAAACCTTCAGAAGTTTGTCAGACAGCACATCCAGCTGAGAGAGAACTCTTGATTGGAGGGGCAGGGTTGTTATGCGCTTAAACTCCGCATTTATCAAAGAAAACTAAATATCACAGTCATAAAAATCATGAAATCATTTCATTTTCTAATGATGTTATAATAATAATAATAATAATAACTTGGATTTCTATAGCGCCTTTCATAATACACAAGGTCGCTTTACAAGGAAGAACAGGAGTATAAACAAACATAACATAACAAAAGGCAGTCAGACAAAACAACAAATAGATTTGGGGCCGAAGTCCTTGGCAGACAGATGGGACTTGAGGGCCCTTTTGAAGGCGTCAAGTGTGGGGATGTTGTGGATCTCCGCAGGGAGAGCGTTCCAGAGAGTGGGGGCTGCCATACTGAAGGCTCTATCCCCGAAGGTTCACAGGTTGGTGCAGGGTTATGATTGTAGTTGTGTGCTAAATGTATTTACAAAATCACATACCAGGCATATTTTGCCTCAAAACGATGCAGAGAAACTAGTCCATGCATTTGTTACTTCAAGGCTAGCTTATTGTAGCTCTTTATTATCAGGGTGTACCAACAAGTCAGTGAAGTTGTTTCAGCTAATTCAACATGTATTGACCAGAGCACGGAGAAGGGACCACATGACTCCTGTGTTGGCTCCATAGTGAGAATAACTTTTTATATCAAGTACGAACAACCAGGTTAGACTACATTACATTTACATTTTTTTCCAAAGCGACTTAAAGTAAGTATTACTGTAATATAAGACTACAAGAAACACCCTTATAGCCATTTCAACAAACAAAACATGATCATTTTTGTGAAGGAGGCTTTATCGCAGAATGTTTGGCTTTTGCCAACTGAATAACTTTTGCCTAATAAATCAGAACATGTGTATATCCCTGCAATGTTTGCAGTATGTAAATGTTATGAATACATATTCAGAAATTGTCAAACTAATACCAGTTTTCAATTAGTGAAAGATCAAGTTTAAGTTAGTCAAGTAAATCACACAAAACATTTGAATACTCACCATTTACTACAGAGCCTTTGGAACAATGTTCAAAGCAAGGCTGAGGTCAATCTTCTCCACACCAATGACCTATCACAGAAAAACATATTGGAAATTATTTCATTATTCACACACAAATAAAACAAAACTGTTCTGCTCCTTAAAGAAGACATTTACCATTTAATTATGTACCTTTAGGTTAATATGAACCGACTTCGGCCGAGATGGGCGCCTCCAGTGTAAAAAGCTACAGTAGCCTACACTAATGCAATGAGTACAACTTTGTACGGAGCACACATCAGCGTTGCGAGCTCATTTCCATTGGTTTCAATGGAGACATGCACTGCAGCAGCGCGCACTAGTGATGGCAGTTTGACACTGAAGCTAAGCTTCAAACGGAGCTTCAACCCTGGACTTCCTATTCCATATCAGCAGTGCTTCGAAGCTTGCTTCAAATCACGTGACATGTGACGTCCGAAGCAGCAACTGCTTCATTTCCTGAATGAATCACTTGACTGGTTCGCGGTCCATTCACGCGATTCAATGCACTGCCTCGTCTCGATTCTGACAGGTGACAGGTTGAAACAGTTTCAAATTTGAGCGCTTCAACACTTTATGACCGCTCTAAACAATGCACAATGTGTGGGTTGTTGTCGTAGTTTGCTTTGTTGCTGTTGAGTTGTTGTTGGTATTGCATATATCATTATAGAGCAAGCCAGGAAGAAAGATAGGTCGTTCTGGCTCGGGAAACACTTCGAAATGTGGAGAAGTTGTGAACAAAAAGACAATTATGAGTAATATAAAAACAGTTAAATATTTTAAGGAATAGATAGCCCAGTGGATAGAGCCGGCAGCCCGAATGCGGCGATGTCCTCCTGCAGCTGGTTCAAATCCCTGAATAAATAATTGCTTTTCAACTTTAATAACTGATAAAAGGCCCTCTCCGCCCAAAAACATGTCTAGCACTCTCTCTCTTCTCAATAACCCAATACACACAATTATCAATCTTTAATTGCAAATAGAACATGATATTCAGTCTTAGTGTGTGTGTGTGCATCGAATATTTTTCAAGGCAAAGATACGTTAAACCCACTGCAGCCTTGCACTTCGCCAGGAGAGGTCGCTGTAACTGAAGCTTCGAGAAATGAACCTATTTCCGACACAATTGTCCAAGTGGTTCGATGCTTCATTCAAAGCTTCAGTTTGCCATCACTAGCGCGCACCGCTCGTCATGTGACGAGGAACAACCAATCACAACCGAGAAACATCTCAACTTCCGTAAACACAAGTGTACGGCAAATATGGAAGATAAGTTCATTTCACAGCGGGTGGATCGTCACCCTTACTTGATCTGTCCGGCATGTCCCCCATATTCATGGTATGTGCACCGCTGCTAAAATGTAACACAATCATTAATATCCTCCACTTTCCAGTATCAAGTGTCGCTTTCCGGGACACACCCCCACACACAATATTGTGTCTCTGTTTTGATCTGTGTGTATTTACGGTATTTACATGAACACAGAGCGGATCAAAGCAGAGACATAAACACAGTTTTTTAGGGAAAACACTGCGGTCCCACAGACAATACTGTATCTTTAACAATCAACACCTTAAATGGGTAAAGATGGTCGCTTAACGTAAGGTAGGCCTACAACCTGCATCAGCGCCCTTAAAAGTCGGCACAAGAGTAGACATGCAGAGCCGGACCGACGCAGTAAAGTTCTCCACCGCCTGACAGCATGAACAATCATTTTAAACAAGACGTATAGAAATGCAAACATGCCGCAAGCTCATCCATCATCTATGACTCCCCCCTCCCCACTGAGCTCGGTTTAATGTGCATCACTTTGGGCAAGGTTCATAGTTTTAAATATTGTGAATCAAGCAACTGTCGGACTTACGCTCTACAAATACTCACAGTATAAAAACACGCTAAACACAAGTCAATCAATATAAACTCACTTTATGATGTTCATGGCTTTATCCTAGCTAACACCAGTGAATGACAATGTTTACAAATTGACAGCTGTATTTACGTTGCTCGTTGTAACGGCAAATGTGAACTCTGCTTTTTGCAAACAATGCGTCTTGTGATAACCTGTAAATATGACGAACATTTGATGACATTAAATAACTTCAAAGAACTTTTACCTTGTAGAGATGTTCTCGGGACAGAACCAGCTTACTCCTCCGATGCGGGAGGAAAAGATGGTAGAACCCCCTTCCCCCCTCCTTTGTTTAAAAAAGAAAAAGCTTCACATTTTTAAAAATAAATATATTTAGCAATTGTTTTCTGCTTTACATCTTGTCCATTAAAGTGCCATATTGTTCAGGTTCAATTACGAAACTATTAAAGTACGGGTTTGAGTCCGACCATATTAATTTATGATACAATATTTGTAAATAATAATTAGAAGCTGAGTAATCGCTGCAGAGCAAGCTGCTGACGCATGTGCTCAGTGGGCGGAGTTACAGAGACAAACATAACTTTTTTCTTATTTCTTAACATGATTGAGATTAATAGAACTACACCCCTCAAGATTAAAATAGTTCTACATGATTGATTCATGTTTCGACGAGAAACATGAATAAATTATGTCTCATATAACTGCATATTTGCAAATTGAACAACCCCACTTTCCCCTTTTTTCAGTGTTGAGAAACCAAAAGCTCATCTGGATGTGTGGTGGTTGTTAATATTGTTTTATTTTTTGAGAAAAATACATGAATATTGTTCAAAGAAATGTGTTTGTCTTTATTGACTTTGTTTTAAAATGTTGTGATAAATGCTGTAGATATCAAATGAACATTAAAAAGTCATGTTGGTTAAACATAGGGTAAATGAATATACCAAATATTAAAGGAAATATTTCCATTAACATAACAATGTAATGTTTCTTTAACAAAACATAGTTGTGTGTCTTTAACATAATGGAATAGTTTTGAACACATGATTTTAATATGTGCAACCGATGTCCATATTAAAATCATGTGAATCCAACAGCCTTTTTTTTCAGTGCATGACACAATACAATAATCTGCATGACGCCTCTTTCAAGCCCATGAAAGTACATTAATGAATATGATGTGAGTAGAAAATATTATGTATTTCTTAACAATGCTATAATTATCACAGACTGCTAGATAAGGTGTGTCAAATGCTGGTCTGTGGCCCAATGTGCTCATTAGCTCGTTTTCTACGTCGCTGAAATTAGATTCCGATTCCGAGCTTCCGATTCGGCAGTTAAGGGGAAAGTTAAGGGACATTTAATTTACAGCGCTGAGCCAACAATCCTCCGTTTTTGAACCTCTTAAATCGCTGCATAGCCGATTTATTTAGACTGGATTATCCCAGAGAGTCTAAAGATTCTTTATGACACAGTTTTAGATTTGTGAAACCTTCATTTGTGAAAATGCAAAAAAGGGAGATTTCACTGCTTTTTTCACATCTCGGTTTTTAGATCAGGACCTGGTCTAATGTGGTCTAGAACTGTTTCTGGCACTAGATGGCAGTAGCAAATAAGACACACTGCATGCATATCACAGTATGTTGCTTCAGCCTCATGCTGTTAAATAAAAACTCCGATCCCCGAGGACAATCTCTCCAAAGTTATCTAAAGTTGTAAAGACGTACATAATACTTTAGGTAAGGTCGATCGGCTGGTGCATGCATTATGATTGAAAAGACAAGATAAGACATACTTTATTAATCCCAAACTGGGAGAATGTTTTCATTCGTAATTAGTAAAGAAAAGAGTAGAAAATAATCAATTATACAATATAAACAACTCAAAATAGAAGATACTATGTGACAAATAAAACACTATTGAAGGGCTTGAATGACAGCTACAACTAACACTGACTTTGGAGTATGAGATGTGTGTGTGTGTGTATGTGTGTGTGTTTTTGTGTGCGTGTGTGTATGTGTGTGTGTATGTGTGTGTGTGTGTATGTGTGTGTGTGTGCGTGTGTGTATGTGTGTGTGTTTTTTGTGTGTGTGTACGTGTGTGTGCGTGTGTGTACGTGTGTATGTGTGTATGTGTGTGT